GCGGCCCGCGGGAACCCATGGAGCAAGTTCCTGGCGAGAGCAACTAAATAATCGTTGGGGGGCCAATGTAATCATTCCTCCGCCTTGCGACGGGTTCGGCGAAACGCTGAATAATCAATCGAGTAACCGACTGCCCGCTAAGCAAAAGCCTATAGGTTAATGCTGTAGATTTGGGGAAACTGAGGCACGCCACTCTGGGCCCTGGCTGGGGGAGGAAATGCTGCTTTGTTGGGAGACGAAGTCGTGGGGATGCGGGCGCCGCCTCCTGGCATCACCCTGCGCTTGGGCCTTTGACCGGGTGCCCTCTTCCTCGCGGGCATGCCCAGCCCCCGGCGTGGGGGGAACAGGAGCATGCTTCCACAACCGACGGGGTCTCCGCGCAGTGACCGTCCGCTTTCCGCCAGCTTCAGGTCTGGAATTCCCCGAGGGAGGTAAATTTCAGAGCCGGCTTGAGCTCTGAGCTGGTTTTCTGGATCCACAGAGGTAGGGATGCCCTGGCCTAAAACTCGCCTGCGGCGGCAGACCCTGGACAAGCACATGGCACGCATCCCCTATGCCGCGGGATCCTCCGTTTGACTAACGGGTAATGGAGCTGAGCAATCATAAACCGATAAGTCCCTGATTGATTGGCTGTTCCTTGAGCATCCATCAAAGGATCATTGATCTTCTGTGCAAAGCGCGGGGGAGGAGGGTGATGGATTGCGCTCCTGAAAGAGGCACGGGTTGTTTACGAGGGCGTGCGGCAGGCGGGTGGATGTCGCCCGGGACCCGGAGCAGGGGTGAGGGGCCAACACTGTCCACTGCACTTTTAGTAGAAGGAAAGGAGCACTTGGTGGAGGAGGAGCATTGCTGTCTGCAGCTACCGTCACGTCAGGCTGGGGTTCGCCCCACAGCCCTGGGGACGAGGAGAGGAGCAGGGTTCCCTGTAGGACGGGTGCTGGGGGGAGATTCAAATGCACCCCGCTGACTAGCAGGGTGCCCACTGTGAGGCTGGTGTTTCTCCTGGTGGTGCACATTTGCACCTGCCTCGGTGCATGTTACAAAATTTATTCCACACACGGGAACCAAAATCTGCACACCGAAGGACAGGCTTAGAGGGAACATTGGCGGGGAGCTGCATGAAGGCCCTGCTTCAGGGTGCAAGCCATGGGCGTGTTAGAAGCACCGGCGTGAGTCAGGAGCCAAGGTTCAGTTCCCTGCCTGTTGAAGGGGGGTAACCCTCTGACGTCCCCATCGCCCCGCCTTTTGTCTGCTGAGCCTGGACGCGTTTCAGCAGCGGTCTCTCGCTTCGGGCCTGCATAGCCCGCAGAGCCAAAGGGCAGCCTGTTCGCCACACCAATGAGTTCTCCTTCCGCCGCCCGGAGCAGACGTCCCCTCCCGGGGCAGGGCCAGAGGTGGGGGAAGCTTCTGGCTCAGTGAGGCTGGGGGCTCCATTTCCCTCTCTCTCCCAGGTTCTGGGCCCCAGTGGGGCGGGAACCATTAGCATGAGGCCTGGAATTAAATGAAAACCAGAGGCTGGAAGGCCTGTCGAAGGTGGTCGCTGTCGCTCCGTGGGCGTCCAGGCTGGGCCGATGTCCAGCCCCAGAGAGCGCAACCCGGCCGTCTCGCCGAGAGGCACAGTCGCTCCCGGGCCTGGCTGAGCTGCCCTGCAAGAGATCGGGGGCAGCTGGCCATGAAAATGCTGCCGTCCTGTAGCAAGGGGCTTCCGTCTCCTTTTTCTCAGGGTTATAGGGAGCAGCCTGCTGCTTCTCCGCCCCCCCCATCCCGGCACCTGCAGGCCAGGCCTTGGCAGCATGGTGGAGGGTTCCGAGGCCGTGGGACCGGCAGATCCTGGAGAGGGGGCCGCGATGTTCCCGTGGCCATAAATGGCAACAGGGGGAAAACGCAGGAGGCCGGGTCAAGCTGTGAAATAGGGAACGGGGTCTCCCTCTCCCCTCAGGGCAGGAGATGAGCTGCACCCGTCCTTTGCCGGCCCTGCATGCCAACCCACTGGCTGCCGGGGCTGGGGAGGGGGGGGCGGCGCCGCCCATCGCCGCGCC